GGTCGACGACGTCCTTCGTCCCCGACCTTACCTACTTACCCTTCCCTTCCGTTCGGTCGGTGGGTACGGTACGGGGGACGGGTGGGCCGTAAAACGGAAAGTAGTACTCTCTCTCTCTCTCTCTCTCTCTCTCTCTCTCTCATAACAAAAATTCAGGTTATGCTCTTCATGATCCAGAAAATCAATATCAATTTTTTATGTTATAAAACAATAAATAGGCTGAAAAAGTTTAAATTGGTCCTTCAATTTGAAGACAACCATGGCCTAGACTCAAACATCACCCAAAACACTGACAAAACAACTGCTCATGCAGATGGGTCATGTTTCATATCCATTAATGGAATAATACCAAAATTGTCACAGTATTGCCGCACATGATGTTTTATCTAATCCAATGCCAACTTAATCAAGAAAGCCCTTAAGATACATGTAACCAGATACACTCAAGCATTAAGATTTCAGTAAATTGGGGATTTACAAACATGAAATCATGAAGAATACATGATAATACAAACAAGAATTGTACTAGATAACAAAGTCATCTATCATGTGAAAAACAACATCAGCTCCATCTGAATTCAACCAATAGGTCTTCACCTGTATTTTCCAAATAAGAAAAATCAGTCACCAGCTCATACGCGGATACACTGATAACAAAAAGGAAACATTAACAACGAAAAACCAAATCTTAGCAGCTGAAGCGGATATTTTCATGGGAATGTCATCAAACCATACCCAAGGATGCACTATTTAACATATTCTTCTTCTTTTTTTTGTCTAATTTCAATAGGCCCTTAGTGCATGCCATAATAGGTCAATAATGGGTTAGAAATTGTTGGAGTAATTCCAATCTTGCCCCTCCAACAAAAGAAGTAGCTGTTAGGAGAACCACCAATGTGAAACATAGGTATTTTCTAATACCAATATCTCACTCTAACACCTATAGAAGTATTTCTGAAGACCAATTTCTTACAAAGTAAATTACCATGTGAGATACTAATAATTCGAACGCTCATATATCAGTAAGTCACCTGGTGAGAGAATGTTATTCCAAGTATTGGTATTATTCAAATACCAACTTCTCATGGGTGTTAAATTTTTGCAAGATACCGGTGTTTTCAAACACCTATATCTGAACAAATAAGTCACCTTGTGAGATGTTGGTGTTTGGAGGGAGATATTGGTTTTGAATATATAAATACCTCACAAAGGTGGTTTTCCTAAAAACCACTTTGGTTTTGATGGAGGGACAAATTGGATTGCCCCTCCATCAATTTCTGACCCATTATGTTGCATACTTTATGCGTACCTCGATGAGCTTTTCGAAAGAAGAACAAAGAGAATGGAGGAAACATTAATAGTGAACCTCTCCGGTGTGGTTTATTAAAATTTCCCTAATTTCAATTGCCACTACTACTTCTTCTAGTCTAAAAAAAGCATTAACAGCAAACTAAATTATTGAATGGAGAAAATTGAACCTACTATAAATATAAATGACAGCACATGAATTAATAAGAGTAAACATCTCAATGCTTTCCGTCAATTACTAACAAAGCCTTGCCTGAATGGTACTGTGTGCAATATATTTTTGTTTACTTCTATGAAAACTAACATCCACTCGTTCCCAAGGTACTTGAGTGAGACCTCTAATCATCACTTCTGCAAATGCCAACGAACAAAACAATTAGTAAAACTCACTAAAGAGGCAAAAATAAATAAAATATTATATCCACATATTTCTCATACACAATCAACTACAGCTGACAATAAATAATGCAGGAAACTGACAAAGTAAATGAGCTAAGGAGATCACAGGATTCATGAATAAGGCAAGAAGAGAAGCTTCTGCAAATCATTTCAGGGCAAAGGTGATCTATTTGATGAAGAAATAATGTCAATTCCTCTAAGGAACACCCATGAAGCTTTACAACATCTTACCTATCATTGGAAAGTAGATTACATGGGAAGAGAGAGAGAGAGAGAGAGAGAGAGAGAGAGAGAGAGGTAT